AGTTATTGAAATTACCTATGTTATTGTCTGTGCAGGTGTGTGTGTGTGTGTGAATGTGTGTGTGTGTGTGTTTATGTATATATGTGTTTGTGTAGGAGGGAAAATTTATATTTTTTCTGTCTCAGTAAAATCAAACAATAGTAGTGAACATGTGGATAAAGTTAATATCTCCCTCATCGAACATGTCTAAGCCACTTTGTGAATCAATTAATGACATCCTATATATCACAACAACAGGATAAATCTAAGATTTTAAGGGTTCAGGATACATTGGGATAAGAACACCCTCAATTAATGAAACTCTGTCCTATTGATCGATCGGTTGTCCCACCCCACCCCCGGGCTCTCACCAGAAGATGTGCCACACTGGGGTAATGGAAATTTCAATCAGGATAGCAAAGCAACAAGGTAGATCGCAGATACCCCGTTCAACCCCTAATGAAGTTATAATTAGATAAGCTGTAACGGCATCACCCGCCGGGCGTAACTTGCAGCCAGGTGCGTGTAAGGACGCCATCCCTGAATCATGTTAACAACAGACTGACTGACGTTCACCCCACCAGGACATCAGACCAAACAATAAACACCCGGTGACACAAAGGTGATACAAACTGTATGTATGTCTGTTCGGGAAACCCCGTTCAACCTATAGGCTGGGTTATATTAGGGCCCCCGGCAACAGCCAGGTCGGGGCTTTGAAGCAACCAAAAGTTGCGTCCCACATTGCGACGACTTCCAGGTACAACCTGGCAACAGCCAGGGCGGGGCTTTAGGTAAGTAGGTAGGTAGTTGTATCCCACCAGGACATCATACAAGCGATAAACACCCGTGACAAAAAGTGCCACCATGCGGATGAGGTTCCAGAAACCCCTTTCAGCCGTTAGGCCATATCTATGCCCCGGCTATATTCAGGGCCCCCGGCAGAAGCCAGGTTGGGGCTTCAAAAAAAAAAAAAAAAATTGCATTCCACATGGTGATGACTTTGAAGTTTGGCGGGGCATTGAAGCAACAAAAAGTTGCGTTCGGCGTTGGGACGCACTGTAGGTTAGGACACATAAACGAATGACTTGACTTGACTTTCTACCCCACTAGGACATCACACAAGCGATAAACACCCGATGACAAAAGTGCCACCATGTGGATGAGGATCACCGTGGAGAGGTCCCAGAAACCGCGTTCAGACAATTGGCCATATTTATGGCCTGCCTATATTGCGGCCCCTGGCAAAAGCCAGAGTGGGGCTTCAAATTAAAAAAATTACATCCTGAGAAGGACATAAAGATGATTCATCGACACATAAACGAATACAGTTAACATCTTACCGCTCTTTAACATACCTTCAAAACTTTAATGACATCGTTTGTAGCAAGTACTTTTGCTAATTTATTGGCCACCTCTTGCGTAAGACGATTGCCAGATATGTCCAACTCCTGCAGACTTTGGTTAATAGACAAGGCATCCACTATAGCCAGGCCTGCTTGAATGGCCAGCCCGTTCCAGGAGATATTGCATACCTTGAGTCGTATATTCTCCTGGCAAAGGGAAGTAATTATTTGTATATTTGTGAATTAAAGTAGGACGGGAGACAACTATATTGCAACATTTTCTTTATCTGCTTCTCCTGCTGTTGCGTTGACCATTACAAATACGATTGGTTCGCTGTGGTTGGGTTTACAGCTAGGCTGTGATATTTGTGCCTTTCAGCCTAAAATTACTCTTAGCTGCCCGGCCCATCCCCTTCCCCACCAATCCCATTTAATCGTCTTTTTTGACATGCTTGTTAGGGTGCCTAATTTAGGGGTATGGTGTGGCTGGGGCATTGATCTAGTAATCTACAGTAATGGGGCTCAGGAACCCACACAGTGATACACATGAAAACAAAAACAGGTGTGCGATGCAATCGTTAGAAATTATCGTCCTAATGACGCCTGAAACACTGATTTAACTGTTCATTACATAAATAGGAATAACAAAGGGAAACAATTCGTGTTATAGTACAAGACCAAAGCTCAGAAGTGGACGAACAACCAGAACTATTCGCTGAAGTTTACAGCCGGCAAAGGTGAAGAAGAAAAAGAATAAAAATTGCGTAGCTCTCCAAAGTGTACATTGCATTGTAGTTACTTCTAAAATAACGACGATTCGTCCCATGAAAACAACTGTAGCAGCTGACATCAAGCTGCTCTAACTATTAGGGATGCTTCAATTACGAGTATAAGTTCTCTGGAAGTTGAACGGGATATCTAGGATTCGTCCTGTTGACTTACCATTCGGAATAAGATGTTGTTATCTCAAGGATGTCAAACATTTAGGCAGCAGCCCAGACAGACAGACCACTTGTACTACTGCAAACTTTCATAGCCATGTGTTATAATTACTATTACCAGTATAGCTACCCCTATTTCACTTGTTGCTGATGCTACTAATGCAAATAATACTAATAATAATAATAATCCTACAGCGGCTACCACTACCAATACTCAATAATCCCTTTATTTTCACTTTAGGAACTTTAACGCTTAGAGGACTGAACTGCCAACACAGTTTCATTTAAAATCCATGAAGATTGAACTGCCCACACAGTTTTATCTAAAACCATCCAGTTACGGCCCCTGGAATTCATCAGAGGAATTTATTCTCCGGTCCAACGTGCCTCGTAAGTCTACTGTCAAGACATCGACCTGGCCTCTTCGAGATACTAGCTAACTGATTGTTTGTGCATGTGTGGTATTGTTTGATTTATGTATGTGCTGATGAAGGCTCTATAGCTGCAACGTTCACGTTTTGTTTGTGTTCGTTATATTGTGAAGCTTGCTGGTATAATTTTCGTTCTTTTTATATATTTTCTGGACACCAATACCCTAACATCATTCATTGGCACCTTTCCGTCTTTCCAGACGATAGTGTTATACTGCGCTATGAGAGGCATGAGACTCACGCGAGTGTGGCTAGCAAGACCCGCCAGTGTCATAAAAAATCTTCCACAATGATAGCATGGGATTTCAGGACCACTGTTGTCAACATTTGTGTTTAATCCGTTTTTTTTTTCAGACGCTCAGTCTCATCCTTTCTGCAATCATTTCTTCCTTCAGTCTCATTCCCTTTCTGATATGCCCTTTCCACACAGCACGGTCCATGGCATTTTGTTACAATGAGTCCACCTCAATACCTGAATCATTCATGTCCCGCTTGCACACATCTTTATATCGTAGTAGAAGTCAGCCCCGACATCTTCTTCCTGTCTTTAATTCACCATAAAGGATGTCCTTAGGGACTCTGCCATCCTCCATTCTCCAGGTGTGACCCAGCCACCTGAGCATTCGTAGACTGAGCATGGAAAAGAATTGTAGTACCTGCTCTTTCCAGTACCTCAGTGTTTGTGATTTTGTCCTGCCACTTAATGCCAAGAATTCTTCTTAAGCATTGCATGTGAAAGCTATTAAGCCGTCTCTCTTGGTGCAGGTAGGTTGACCAAGTTTCACTGCCATAAAGCAGAGTGCTGAAAACACAAGCCTGATAGACAAGGGTTTTTGTTTGAATTGTGAGCTTTCTGTTCTTCCAAACTCTCTTTGTCAGTCTGCTAATTGCTGTTGCTATGGTACCTACCCTGATGTTGATTTCTTGGTCCAGCGATAGTTTACTATTCACTGTGGAACCCAGATAGGTAAAATGGTCTACTGTCTCAAGCTCTTCACCGTCAATGTAGACTGTAGGTCTGTCATTGACATCTTTCACCATAACCATTGTCTTCTTTTTGCTGGCTGTTAGTCAAAATTCACAGCACGCACCAGCAAAGGCAGATAGTAAACATTGCAGCTCCTCCTCTCAGTGGGTGGTTATTGCGGCATCATCTGCAAACAGCAGCTCTCTGATAAGTACCTTTCTTATCCTGGTTTTGGTCTTCAGCCTGCGAGCATTGTAAAGGCCGCCGTCAGATCGAGAATGAATGAATATACCACCCTTCTGATCTCGAAAAGCATGTGTCAAAAGAAGTGAAAAGTATATTCCAAAGAGGGTAGGAGCAAGATCACCTCCTGCTTCAGTCCATTTCTATTTACAAACTCCTCCGATGTTAAACCATCAAAGTTGATTGTACCTCAGCATGCTGAGGAAGATCAGAACAGGTGAGGAGTATTTGTCTGGATTTTTTCACCGGGGCACGCCGGTGTGTTGGGAAATAAACAGGCGCAGACTGGCTGGCTCTGCACAACTTAGTGGAATACTGATACATGATAAGACAGACGAGGCTAGTGCCTTGTGGGAGAGCGTGTACAGTTCGGAAGAGCAGATGGATCACCACAGTCTGGTGAGATTGATGCAGCGGGGAGTGACGAGAGGTTCTGGCAGATGCTCGAGGCTCAGAGGAAAGGCAAGACGGAATGCTACTGGCACCATTAGTATCGGAACTCTTTGCTGGCTGCTGAAGATGGGGACGGAGCGCTTATAGGGATGCCCCGAGTGCTGTGATGTCGGTTCTAGAATCAAATCAAATCAAATCAGTTGATTGTACCTTTCATACCTGTGTGGAACGAGTCAATAATGCTCAGTAGAGTAGGTGGACACTCAATCTTCTTCAGTGCGTTGAACAGACCTTTTCGACCAAGCAAACCAAATGCATTGGTAAGATCAATAAAAGCAGCATACAGTGGTTGATTTTGTTCACGGCATTTGTCCTGCAACTGTTGTAACAAAAATATCATATCAGTTGTAGATCAGTTCACACGAAAGCCACACTGGGACTCCGGGTAAACGCGGTCACCTAGGATCTGGAGTCTTCGCAGAACAATTCTCGCAAGCACTTTTCCAACAGTACAGAGCACTGATACTCCTAGCAGTGATACCATATCGCCATGCTACTAATACTATACCTACCACCAAAAATACCACTGTGCTACTACTGTAAATATGAATACAGTGATTGCTGGTTCTGTTTTTATCAGAAGTAGGATTTCATCAAAAGAAAACACTTATCTAGTATCTTATTACAGTCATATGGTACAACAACAGCTTCAGCGTTTAAAGAACATCCACAAAGTGTCAAAGCAGTGTATCTAACATACAAATCTTACCCTCAACCCCTTTGCAATTTCAACCCCGCCATGTTCTCTCAGATGATTCCAGCTGAGGTTTAGAATGTCCAGATTTTCGTTTGCCCCTGTTTTCATTTAAAAGGTAAAAGCCATTTTCAAAATTAAAAATTGCAGTTTAGTGAGTGGTATATCCTTTTATTCTTCTTTAAGTTCTCACTGTCCCTGTCGTTCAGATTAGATGGCTATAGGCCTCTCTAAAGCCAGAGGTGCTACGCATGTCCACCATTGATACACACAGTTTAGTTTCTCCCAGTATGTCTGCTGGTCAGACCTGGGTCTCTTTGCTGCATGTAGAGAGCTTGTCTGCAGCCCGTGTTCAATATTCTGGGGTGTCTCTTCACATGAGCAAAGTCCTGAGTCCCCAGTCATGAACATAATGAACACGTTGTAGCGCAATCTGCTGTTTCATGCAGTCCAGAAGTGGACGAACAACCAGAACTTTCCGCCGGAGTTTACAGCCGGTGAAAGAGAAGAAAAAGAAGAAGACAATTTAAATAGAATGGTTTTTTTCTTTCATCTGAGGAGATGTATGTGTATGTGTGTGTGTATGTGTGTGTATGTGTATGTGTGTGTGTGTGTGTGTGTGTGTGTGTGTGTGTGTGTGTCGTTCAACCCCAATCAGAACCATACAACCAGCGACAAACACCCGGTGACACAAAGTGCCACCATTCGGATGAGAATCACCTGGCCACAAGTCCCAGAAATCCCGTTCAACCGTTAGGTTATATTAGGGCCCCCTACAGCCGGGGTTGGGCTTTAAATAAACCGAAGTAAATTGCGTACCACATTGGGACGGGAATACCTAATAAGAGGAGGTTGTCTTTTTGGATCTTAAATATAACGATGACAGGTCATTGGTGAAACTGTTTAAACAAGTATACTAACTATAGAAGTTTTAAAAAACTAGTTAAATAGATGCAGTTAGTTAGTTAGTTAGTTAGTTGGTATCCTTTACAGGAAATTGCAGAACCAACCCCAGCATTTTTTGGCTGGTGTGTTTTTCTAGGCAAATTTACGTCCAGTAGTTTGTCATTGCTTTCTGGACATTCGGCTTTTCAAAACCACTGTCGAAACCAAGGCAAGTCGCAAGGCCCGCAGCTGGGATCAAACCCGGTACTCTGGCATTATGAAGCGCGTTCGCAACGCCTAAGCAAATAGGTAAAGTACGGGACCGTTTTTACACCAGTGGCGTATCATGCATATGATGCAAAACTAATGCTATGGGACACACGGCACTGAGTGGATGATGTGGTCCAATACCACGCTTGCAGTCTTTACTTCCCAAGACATTACTACATGGTACTCATGTGAGGCTCGGTCGACATGAGAGTTAGGACCATTTTTTTAAAAGTGCTGACTCGGAATCGAACTTAAGACCTTTCAGCCAGCAGACGATGTTCACATTATCACTACTGCCTCTCTCTGCCTATCTCTGCCTCTCCCTCTCTCACTCACTCACTCTTTCTCACTCTCACTCACTCACTCTCTCACTCTCTCTCTCTCTCTCTCTCTCTCTCTCTCTGTGGTTAATAGTAATGATAACACATTATATATATATATATATATATATATATATATATATATATATATATATATATATATATATATATATATATATATATATATACTACATATATATATCTTTCTTCTTCTTCTTTCGTTCGCATGAAATAAATTGTCTATATCTGCAAAGCCGTCTCTTGTATGAATTTCACTGTCTTTTGTAATTCACTAAGCGGCCCGTAAAGTTTGACTTCCACAAGTGTCTCTTTTGGCCAAATGTTTTGCCTGAAAGCGTTGAATATGGGACAGTCTTGAAGGATGTGATCTGTTGTTTCAGGTGCCAGTCCACAAGTACACATGGCCGATTGGCCAATCTTAAATTTGTTGTACATGTGGGAGCGAAGTCTATTGTGCCCTGTTCTAAGGCGAAGGATAATAACTTGCTCTGGTCTGTCCATAATATGGTAATCATCTTGTGCCAGTTTCGGTGGCATTCTGATTGATTTGATCATTCTCTTCTTCTGTTGATAAGAGACTGGTATGTCCGGTTGTTCTTCAGTTGCACCTTCCTTAGCTAGTTTATCAGCTTTTTCGTTTCCGGGAACTCCACAGTGGGAAGGTATCAACTGCATTACTAATTTACAGCGGTTGCCTAGTTCGGATAATAGTGTCCGTATGCTTGGTAATTTTCCAGACTGGAGTGACTGAAGTACTGCTTTTGCATCTGTCAGGAATACCACTGGTTGTGGAAAATACCCTGTATTTAGTAGTTTCTCTACCGCTATCTTGATGGCTTGAACTTCTGCATCATAGTTGTGACAGTGCTTTCCCGTTGGTAATTTGGCTGTATCCCTGGTATTATTAGGATACTCAATGTACACTCCCGCACCTCCGTTTATGACTGCGCTTTCTGCTGACCCATCTGTGTAAACACGGACCCAAAGGTTCTGCGGGTATTCATCATCAAGTAAACTGAGGGTGGCTGTTTTGCGCTGCACACTGTTTTGTTCTTCCTTGTCAAATACCCCTTTCACTTCAGTCTTGATGTGTATTGGAAACTTATACTCCTCTCTCCAGGGGGTCCGTTCTGGGACAGCATTTAAGGATCTATCAGTTGCAGGTAAATCAGTGGTTTGTCTGCCGAGCCGTTTGGCCTGGTGGATAAAAATACTTCTCTTTAGTCGTCCCAAAGCTAAATTTTTGAATCTTTCATTCATAGGGTGACTGGGCATACTAAGAAACTTTTCTGCTTGTAAAAGCATCTTGGTGTCTCTGCGTTCACTTAGTGCTTGGGTCATCCCCATTTTCTCCATCACAGCTATAGGTGTTGATTTCATACTGCCTGTGGTAACTCTGAGTGCTTGATTTTGCACTTTATCTAATTCTTGCAATGTGGTTTTTGATGCCGAACTCCATGCTGTTGATCCGTATTCAAGATGTGGTCGAACACTTTGTTGGTAAACTTTTCTAAGTATTTTCCCGCTAGCACCCCATGTGGTTCCACTTAGTTTTCTCAGAATGGCTACCCTCCTTCTGGCTTTGGTTGCTGTCTTGTTGATGTGTTTACATATATATATAAAATGTGTTGACTGACTGACTGACTTTCTACCCCACAAGCGATAAACACCCGATGACACAAAGTGCCACCATGTGGATGAGAATCGCCGTGGAGAGGTCCCAGAAACCGCGTTCAGACAATTGGCCATATTTATGGCCTGCCTATATTGCGGTCCCTGGCAAAAGCCAGGGCGGGGCTTCGAATAAAAAAAAATTTCATCCTAAAAATGACGAAATTGGATTATACTATTAAATGATAAAATGTGTTATCACAATTGCCTTTATATACACATATATACACACATAAATATATACATATGTATAGAAACGCACACTCATCTGTGCAAACAGTATTGTCACATGTCTTTTTATTATATACACGGCTGATAAAATGCCAACTTACCGATAGACCTTCCAATGAAGTAGGCGCCTACCTCGGTAAAGTTGTTGTGGCTCAAGTTCAATTCTCTGAGATTTTTGTTACTCTGAAGCAAATTGGTTTCATGAAATGGTTGTTATATTTTAAAACCCTAACCATTTATTCTCTACTAAACAGCTGACATGGACTAGTCCACATTATCCAGTAACGTTAAAATCATACGTTAACATTAAGAACATAGTTTTTTTAGAAAAGAACAAAATGACAGTCTCATAGTCGCCCATCTATTACCAGAACCTGCAAGGGATACACAAGACAGTAATATTTCTCGTCCTTTTTAGGACGAAATTTTTCGCTATTTGAAACCCTACTCTGGCTTTTGCCAGTGGTCGCAATATAGTCTGGCCATAAATATGGCCTAAAGGCTGAACGCGGTTTCCGGGACCTCTCCACTGTGATCCTCACCCACATGGTGGCACATTGTGTCATCTGGTGTTTATCGCTTGTGTGATGTGCTGGTGGGGTAAAAAGTCAGTCAGTCAGTCGGCAAGGGATACACGGCCGCAGCTGCTAAGCTGTCAGACAAGAGGTTGGCAATCTTTTTTTAAAAAGAAACATTAAAAACTTCACACCTAGACATCCTCGTAACACGATGTTTCTGTGGATGATGAGATTAAGTACCTTTTTGTTTTTTAATTGTTATCAACATCCGCCAACAGACACTGTGACGTAGTGTTTAAGTTTGTCCACAACACGTGTTTGACTAGCACCATCAAAGATTTGGTGACATCTGTTTCTCTTTATCACTGTTTAGGCTATCACTTTTTTGGATGTTGACCTTCAGATTTATTTTCTGTCTGCGAACCAACGTATGTTTTTTGTGACCTTAAGGGCCAGATTATGTAGTAATTCTACATCAGTCTCTTGGGACAGTATTAACTGCTCATCGGGCCATTTTTGGTCCTCAGGCCAGGTTGCCCAACCCCTTGTTTAAACGCTGGCTGTCAACCCTGAGGTCTACGGTTCAAATCCGTAACGAGGCGGATTGTGTGTGTGTGTAAATAACCTAAACTCCCAGATCAACCCACCATAAAGTAGTTACTAGGAATGTCCTGAAAAGTAAACCCGGCAAGAACTATCCTAATAATAATATATTTTCAAAATAATATATGCATCAACAACAATAGATAACTTCACTAGAAAAAAAAAAAAAAAAAAACAATGTTGGGGGAGGAGAGAATATTAACCCTCATACAAATGTATATTATAGTTCTCTCTCCCTCCCCCTTTTCTTTTAACCCCCCCCCCTCCCCCCCCCCCCCTTTTTTTCCCCTCTTCCCCATGGTCCCCTTTTTTGATGGAAAATCGTGGGAGGCCCAAGGATGCATAATCTCCAGATTCCAGATCTCCTGCCCCGTAGCTTGACCTGTCCTAAAGATAAACCCCCCCCAACCCCCCCCCCCCCCCCCCCCACCGTTTTTTTTCTCCAAATTTAACAACACCCTAGGTTGACCTAGCCAAAGCGGGTAAAGGGGGAATTTGGGAAATATTTCAATCGCGTCATCTTCAATCACATCACTCATTGACTGCTTATTGGTCTATGAATATACGCTGCTTGCGCCATATATACCCGTACGGCCCAGTGATTAGAGAAGTATCTTCTTTGTCTGTATAGTATAATTTTTGCAAAGTATCCCTTGGACTTAGTATATTGTGTCTATGCACATGGAAATCAGCAGGTGGACGATGTATCGCAGAGATAAAGAGCACACTAATGATGGTGACGTTCAACCAGGACATTACACAGAGCGATAAACACCCGGTGACACAAAGTGCTACATCATGATGAGGATCATCCAGGGATAGGTCTAAGAAAAACAGCCCACCCCATAGGCTGGGTTATAATAAGGCTCCCGCAACAGCCAGGATAGCGTTTTTAAACAACAACAAAATTGCTTCTGACATTGGGATGCAGCTCATACTAAAAAGAACGCAATAGGACAGACAAACACTGCATTGTATAAAAATGAAGAAGTCGTATGCCATACATCTTAGTCATATGAGATTGATCAAATAACTCTTGCATGTCATATATAGCCTATTCCCCGTGTGGGTTCCGGGGTCCCATTGTGGGGAAAACAAGAATAGACCCACTGCCTCCCCAAAAGCATGTCGTAAGAGTCGACTAATTGGGGAGCTTCCTTTGAAGTCGGAGTGCATCTGCCTGAGAGGCAAGGAACCAACAGTCTGCATTCAAATGAATCAGATCTGTAAAACTGATGCACACGCAACGCTCAGGTCCTGAAGCAGGACGGCAGTTCAAAAGTGGACGAACAACCAGAACCTTCCGCCAGAGTTTACAGCTGGTGAACGCGAAGAAGAAGAAGGAGATATATAGCCTATTTCCCATATTGCTGAGAATCCTGGACAATCTGTAAATAACCCAGACAATTTCTTGAGGTCCCATGTGTGGGGTTTTGCAAAAGAATGTCTACAATTTCACGGACAGCCAAAACAACTAATCCAGATGTTTTGAAAGAGGTGTGAACCCAGAGACAACTTATGATACATTTCTGAAAGAGGCTGGTCGTCATTTGTGCCACGTTGTGAGAAGAAATATGGTATGACAACAGGAAGGACTTCTGTAAGGGGAGATAAAGGAAGACGCATCGAGAATATTCTTGGCATCATTTTGTCATCGCATAGAAATGTTTCAGCACATGAACCGATACATGATGTTAGAGATCGCAAGCTGTGGAGAGGTATGATCAGCCATGCCAGTCATAAAAGAACTTGTTGATGTTTCAATAGAGGAAGGGTTTGAAAAGCGAAATCTTACTTCCAGGGCCAAAGCTAAGGCTTCTGCACATTTGTCATCCAAAGCATTGCCTGTAATAATGAAACAAACAGTTGAAGAATTGGTCTGAACAGCTTATACAAAAAGAGCAGCACAAATGCTATTTTTTTTTTTTTTTTATTGATTTAATAATTTTCATGATTACTGCTCATTTTTGGCATGTAGACGCCCGTCTGCGGATGAAAAAGTCGTGGGTTCGCGTCCTGACGGAGCCGATTTTTTTTTTTTTTAAAAAATGACCCTGACTCCCTGGTCGACCCAGCCTTGATCCAGGTGGAGTCCTGGGAAGTAAAGGCGGCCAGCGTGATGCTGACCACATGACCCACCACGTGCAGACTGGTTTATAACAAATATAGGTCTAGCCCTATATTCCCAATATGTCGGAATGCGTCGAAAAAGGGACCTTTACTTTACTTTTACTGCTTATGTTTTACTTACGAATTACCTCTTTACTTATTACTATAAACAGCAGTGGCAGTAGTGTGGCGGCCAGACATTCGCCTACCGGTCAGAAGACATCGGGTTTGTATCGGTAAACGAATTGGAATGTTTTAAAAGTATCTGTTACCTTAGCTCACAGTCTTTGGCTTGCTTTGAGAAAATAAATGGACATGTTCAGCCAGCATCCCTGAAGAAGAAGCTTTTTGTTAAAGCTGTGACTAGGTTAAGTCCGCCACGTAAAACGGCTTAACATTGCTCGCCACCAAGTAGCGCTCAAAAGGCCGCTTGCAGTGTTGATGCGATGCAAGGAGACAGACCCAATAGTATCTCGACCGACGACGAAGTCGTCCACCGGCCAGCCGATGGGCGACCTGGCCGTCTTAGCTCACGGGTCGATCCAGTGTAAAATAGATAGTAACGCGGCTGTCTTGATGTTGATCATATCTTTTCTCTAATGATCTTTAATGATCGTTAATCTTTAGGGAGCCGCGTTAGCGCAGTCGATAAGAAACTCGCTTTGAAATCCATTTGCGACTCGCTGCAGCCCAAAGAAATTGGAAATGGGTACCAGAGTGATACTCTGGGGTAAATGGAGGAACTTCGCTGTAGATACAGAGTAACGTGCGAACGGCGACACAGGCGGACAATTCTTATTAGCTGTCCGTACTGGAGGCAGAGCACTTATGGTTTATAACCGTGTGCAATGACGCTGGTTCACATCTCCCAACTTTACCTTTACCTTTTATATCATGCACTGAGTAACCACTGTTATATTATAATATGGGCTTGGAATCACACGCCTTACTCACCACTAGCTTATAAAGAGAGGATGGATGGATTAGAAAGACAGACAAATTATTTACTGTATTATTTTATCACTTGGATGTTACAAATTTTCTTCTTCACTTCATCTGTTATCGCTACAGGTGCCAAGGTAGATATAAGGTTTTGTCTCTTGCTATTTTCGACCACAGGTGTTGAAGAGTTTCTGTAATGTTACCTTTCCATCTCGTTCTTATCATACCTCGCGTTTTATGCCCCTCTTGTCTTTTGGTGTATGCATTATATGATATGACTTTCAAAGGCGTTCTCTCTAAGTTGGCATTGTCTCTTCTGGTTACTTCGGCAACATTTCTGGGACATATCAATACCATAGTTACTTAAAGTACTGTAAAGGAAATTTTGTCTCGTCTCCAAGTGAATGTTGGCTAAAGTTGACCACTAATGTCTTTGGGAATATTACGTGATAAGGTCCAACCTTGTGCACTGTGCGACTCTCGTACCACAGACTGAAAACAGCGAGAGTTGTGTCTCTTTACAAGTAACCCGACTAAGTAATCAAACCCTAGTACTCAATGATCATGAAATTGTTAAACGCCTTCACTAACCTCTAAGCCACAGATCCCCAAAGTAAAAGTAATGACAGCTTTGAAAAAGCATTCTTCTTCATCATCGCTTTCTTCTCATTCACCGGCTATATACTCTGGCGGAAGGTTCTGGTAGTTCGTCCACTTCTGGACTTTGGTGCAGGTCCAGAACTTGAGTTTTGTGTGCCCATTCGTTTTACAGATATCTAGCTTATTTGTATCTAGACTTTTGTTTCCTGCCATCTCAGACAGGTGAACTCCAACTTCAAAGGAAGCACCGCTAATAAGTGGACTTTTGAGAGATGGTGGGGTCCCCTCCTCCCCCATCCCACTTACGGAATCCACATGGGGAATTAACAGTATGAAGCTGTATAAATACATGCACACCCGAAAGATCCAGCCTCCTAAGGCCAGTGTTCACTTGAATCATCTTTGCCACATACAGGCCCCCATCACTTCCAATTTTGTTGTCATTCAGAGCCTGTGAACATCACACGTGAAATATATTGTTTCAAATGATCAAATCAGTACTGCATTATGGGGCCGAAACATGGTTTATAGAAAAACAAATTACTAATAAAACTACAAAGATTCCTGGCGCTAGCGCAGGAGTCACTAATATGGAGCTTTAGGAGATAATTCCAATAACATGAAATAAACAAAGCATGCTAAGAGGGGGCAACTGGAATGCATAACAGCAAATGGGAGGGGAAATCTGGAATACATCATGATAAAAGGAAAGCTGAAGGAGAAACGAGACCGTAAGATGCAACGAGAAAAGTTGTTAGACAATATGGCATCAGGACATGGATGGGCGTTTTCTTATCACAGTCCATGCCATGTAGACATGACTATCAGCGCCACATGGACGGGCTTCTCACTGTCAAAGTCCGTGCCATGTAGACATGACTATCAGCGCCACATGGACGGGCTTCTCACTGTCATAGTCCGTGCCATGTAGACATGACTATCAGCGCCACATGGACGGGTTTCTCACTGTCATAGTCCGTGCCATGTAGACATGACTATCAGCGCCACATGGACGGGCTTCTCACTGTCATAGTCCGTGCCATGTAGACATGACTATCAGCGCCCCATGGACGGGCTTCTCACTGTCATAGTCCGTGCCATGTAGACATGACTATCAGCGCCACATGGCATGGACGGGCGTCTCCCTATTATAGTAAGTGCCATGTAGACATGACTATCAGCGCCCCATGGACGGGATTCTCACTGTCATAGTCCGTGCCATGTAGACATGACTATCAGCGCCACATGGACGGGCTTCTCACTGTCATAGTCCGTGCCATGTAGACATGACTATCGGCGCCCTATGGACGGGCTTCTCACTGTCATAGTCCGTGCCATGTAGACATGACTATCAGCGCCCCATGGACGGGCTTCTCACTGTCATAGTCCGTGCCATGTAGACATGACTATCAGCGCCCCATGGACGGGCTTCTCACTGTCATAGTCCGTGCCATGTAGACATGACTATCAGCGCCACATGGCATGGACGGGCGTCTCCCTATTATAGTAAGTGCCATGTAGACATGACTATCAGCGCCACATGGCATGGACTATAATAAGGAAATGTCTGTCGTTGTCATCTGGCGCTGTTAGTCATGACTATCCACAACCTTCCGTCTCGTATACTTTCAACCAGGCCTGACACAGATGATCTTTCATGCTACGAGGTCAAACTTCTTCATCTTCTTCGCGTTCACCGACTATAAACTCCGGCAGAAAGTTATGGCTGTTCATCCACCTCTGGATTTTGGATTTGTCCCAGAACCTGAGTTCTGCGTGCACATCCATTTCACAGATTTGACTATATGTATGCAGTCTGTTGGTTCCTTGCCTATCAGGCTAATGCATTCCGACCTCGAAGAAAATCCATAATTAGTCGACTCTTACGACATGCTAGTTGGGGAGGCAGTGAATCTATCAACGGTGCCACGAAACCCACACAGGGAGAGGTCAGACTGTCTACCATCTCTCGGTCTCTCTCTGCCTCTTTTTCCCGTCAGCTCTCCCACTTTCACGACTAACTTCAGTCTTTTTTATTCTCACTACATGACCAAAGTTGTAAATGCAAGTAGTACAATAAAGGCACGTTTAGATCATTGCTCTAGACAAGGAATATTTCGTCTGTACTGAGATTGTCTTTAGGGGTCATTTTTCGTGAGGTGCTGTGGTACCAGGAGCCGTCATCTGATTTCAGATGCCCTTGTGCAATAATTATGTTTCTAGACCAAAAAGTAGAAGTAGTAGGAGGCCAACATCGTACTCAATACCGCACTTGTATGGATGTATTGACAATGGAGGCACCAAATCACACGAAGAAAGAGCAGGCAAGACCAAATGGCACGACATGTGAAACAAAGAACACCCATCAATGACCATCTTACAAGGTTGGTAATGGAGTCGTTTTCTTCCAGCAGGCGACAGATGAACCTTGAACCTTCAGCCCCGATCCAGTTACCGGAAATATCCAATCTGTCAAGTGTCGTGTTGTCCTGGATTTTGGAATATAGTCAAGGTCACAGCCATTAGTGTTTGTCACTTATTTATAATAGTGCAAAAAATGAAAGAAAGAAAGAAAGAAAGAAAGAAAGAAAGAAAGAAAGAAAGAAAGAAAGAAAGAAAGAAAGAAAGAAAGAAAGAAAGAAAGAAAGAAAGAAAGAAAGAAAGAAAGAAAGAAAGAAAGAAAGAAAGAAAGAAAGAAAGAAAGAAAGAAAGAAAGAAAGAAAGAAAGAAAGAAAGAAGATAAGAGAGAAAGAAAAAATATAAGACAGAAAGAAAGAAAGAAAGAAAGAAAGAAAGAAAGAAAGAAAGAAAGAAAGAAAGAAAGAAAGAAAGAAAGAAAGAAAGAAAGAAAGAAAGAAAGAAAGAAAGAAAGAAAGAAAGAAAAAGAAAGAAAGAAAGAAAGAAAGAAAGAAAGAAAGAAAGAAAGAAAGAAAGAAAGAAAGAAAGAAAGAAAGAAAGAAAGAAAGAAAGAAAGAAAGAAAGAAAGAAAGAAAGAAAAGAAAGAAAGAAAGAAAGAAAGAAAGAAAGAAAGAATTTCCAATAGTAAAAGTCATGTAATAGCGTTTGATGCCTCTGTAGTGTCTCACGTCAACTGCGACAGTAGAGCGTTTAGCCACTGCGCTACCCTGGCTTCAACAGCAATTCTTATTATTTTTCTTATTCTGCCTCTGCCCTTAAAAAGGCGGTTGCCACGTTGTGTTGTAGTTTACAGCTAAGCTGCGATATCTGCATTTTCGGAATTAAACATCTGATTTCACTCCATCCCTAACGTGTCGCCTTACATCGCACCTCGTTAGGGCGCTGTGGACCGCCCCCCCCCTCCCTCTGCCTCCTCGGAACCTCCATGGGGACCTAACATCAACACCTTCAGTCCCTCAGTCCCATCATATGCTAAGTAGTTGTCACTATAGCTAATAAAGTCATAGATGGGATTAAAGTAATGACTCTTTAGGACGACTGGCGTTCTTCTGTTTCTTTATCATCTTCTTCTTCCTCTTCTTCCTCTTCTTCTTCTTTCTCCTCTTCTTCTTCTTTTTTCTTTTTCTTCTTCTTCTTCTTCTTCTTCTTCTTCTTCTTCTTCTTCTTCTTCTTCTTCTTCTTCTTCTTCTTCTTCTTCTTCTTCTTCATCTTTTTCTTTTTCTTCTTTTTCTTCTGCACGTCCACAGGCTGTAAACTCCGGCAGAAAGTTCTGGTTGTTCGTCCACTTCTGGGCATTAGCCTCGTTCGAAAACCTGAATGTTACGTGCACGTCCGTTTTATAGATCTGACTTATTTGTATGCAGATTGTTGGTTCCTTGCCTCACTGACAGATGCCACTCTGACTTCGAATGATGCCTCTCTCCAATTAGTCCACTGCTACGACATGCTTGCTGGAGATGCAGTAGGTCTGTTCCCATTTTCCCCAACCTTGGGATCCAGGAACCCCCACGGAGAGAAAGGACTTCAGGTAACAAATGGAAAAGGCTGGGTTAAACAACTTGGTGGGTGCAAGTTGTCCAAGAATTTATATCCTATCAGTGTAAACTAACAAACTTATCCTGCATTTAACCTAGGCCTTCTCCAATTATATACAGAAGGACCTGGTTTAACCGTGACCATCGATAGTACTACCGTCGGTCTCAGTTTAACTGTACTAAGTTAAAATCAGGAAACACACTTTGTACCCTAAGAGCTAAGGCTATAGCTTTGACTGCATCCGCACCAAGACCTCTGTAGCGCATGGTGATAGCGGTGTCCTTGATGTGTCGAATGAAGTACTCCACGGGAGATAACCCTAGCTGTTCACAAACGGACTTGTAGTAGGAAATGGTTTCGTCCTCTTCCTCTTGGTCTAGCAGAATAAATGTTACTGATCAGAGATAACAATCTTAACAATCATTTATTCCACTGTTTTGTTTGTCTGTTATATTATATTATTTACTTTATTGTAAATATCTTACAGGTATTATATATCTTCCCTTATGCGTTTAATACGTCTGTGTACTGTTGAATTTGTTAATACTGCAGTCTATGACAGTGTTTAGGCCAGATAAGCGAGACGCAGAACATTACATCTTCCTCCACACACGAAAAAGAAGAAGAAGAAGAAGAAGAAGAAGAAGAAGAAGAAGAAGAAGAAGAAGAAGAAGAAGAAGAAGAAGAAGAAGAAGAAGAAGAAGAAAGAAAAGAAGAAGAAGAAGAAGAAAAGAAGAAGAAGAAGAAGAAAGAAAGAAAAAGAGAAGAAAGAAAGAAGAAGAAAGAAGAAAGAAAGAAAGAAAGAAAGAAGAAGAAGAAAAAAGAAAAGAAAAGAAGAGAAGAAGATGAAGAAGAAAGAAAAGAAGAAGAAGAAGAAAGAAGAAGAAGAAGAAGAAGAAAATAAGAAGAAGAAGAAGAAGAAGAAGAAGAAGAAGAAGAAGAAGAAGAAGAAGAAGAAGAAGAAGAAGAAGAAGAAGAAGAAGAAGAAGAAGAAGAAGAAGAAGAAGAAGAAGAAGAAGAAGAAAAGAAGAAAGAAGAAGAAGAAGAAGAAGAAGAAGAAGAAGAAGAAGAAGAAGAAAAAGAAGAAAAGAAGAAGAAGAAGAAGAAAAATAAAGAAGAAGGTCTCCTTGATGTATTTTGTATGCAGACTGTTGATTTCTTGCCTCTCTGGCAGATGTCCGGAATCCCATAATTATTCGACTATGACGAAATGCTTGTCGGGGAAGTTGTGAGTCTACCGACTCCATAACGGGGCTCCAGAACCAACACGGGGAATACTGCGAGTCCTAAAGGGCGTGTAACGGCCCATCCGAGTATTGATGATGTAGGTGATGTTACTGAAACTGTAGGCAGCAATAGTGTAATGTTGTTGTTATTGTTGTTATTGATCCAGCGGCGCATGAGCTTTCGTCCTCTGGCCCAATGCCATGTAGAGGAATTTGCATGTTTTCACAAGCTGTTCTTTTCCTCCGTACAAGTGTTCCACTTGTCTGGTCTCGGAGGGAATAGCAGTCTTTTAGTCTCGTTGAGTTTAGGGCACTCAAAGAGATGATGTTTCAACAGTTTCGTAAGGTAGTTACATAGCTGGCACTCTGGGGAGTGTTGTGGCTGTATTTTGTTAGCAATAGTGTAATAAGACGTTATTACCTTTATCGTCTAGATCGGTGTCAAAGTCCTCTTCTGTGAATTCCTGTGGGGTTGTGGAAATTTCCACACATGTAGTTGTTGTTCTGTCAGAATTTGATGTACTGTTTGCTTGCTCGACAATATTTTCCTCTTGTGTGTTCAAGATCTAGAAAATATAACCAGATATTCAATTAACATGAGCGCATTGAAATTGCGATTAGTAGGCAAGACAGTGGTCACGCTTCAGTCCACACAAATCGCAGGATTGTTTGTTACATTTATGGCTCTGAAATCCACCCACATTTACAAAATAGTTACAAACAGTGATGTCGACAGCTTCCGGTCAATATGGCAAATAGGCATGTTCACTGTTTTAAGCTGCGGCAATTTTGGCTTCTGACAATGGTTAGGTGTTGCATTTTTCGCAGTATGTGCACTGAAAAGGTATAGTTCAGTAGTACAGCTACAGAGCCTAGTGCATGGTGTGATACTGTGAGCTGCGGAATTTTATATGGAATACTTTTCGACTGCGCCTAACGTTGTTTATGTTGAGAACTGCAGATTCAGAACATATCTTGTTGCCAGAGAATTTTTTGGTGCCTTGTGCGATTAATTGCGTGTGCTAACTACTGATCTATTGTAGCTGCTGCTTCCATTGACGAAGAACTGCATTTCTAGTGTCGGCCTGTTTGTGTTGACACTTCTGGCTGCTGCCTTATGCATTGAATCTGTGTTTATGCTGTTGGATTTGTTGAGACTGTAGTCTGCGTGAATGTTTTTCACAAGGGACAGTGATGAGCATTCAGTGTAGTTTTCTTTGGCATAGAAACGCAGCAACTGTGGATGGACCCGTCTGCTATAATTCTGGAACTGCGCGATTACATGCTAAACGATTTATTTTTTCAGTTTTTTTTTAAAATGTATATTTCATTTATCATTTAATAAGTTTATCATTACTTCTTTGAGTAAGAAAGAGATCAGACATATTCGCCAAAACACTGCACTTACCTGTACTTCCGTGATGAGAACACTAGATAAGTCCTTCAGGAAGAAGTGGTCGTCGTTTTTGTCATTGCCCTGGCTGGTCATCAGGCTAGGAGTACGCGTCAGTGTTGCTCTCAGTGTGTTTTGAGGAAAACGTGAAGATCTGGACAGCGGTCGAGCAGTGGACTCCTCAAAATCAGACTCTAACTCGTCTAGAAAAAAAAAAAAAAAAAAAAGAAACAATCTAACTGTGCATTTTCCTCAAATGCAGCGTTCACCCTCGACCAACTTACTCGAGGTAGTCAAGTCTTTTGATATCGTGTGTCCTTCCCTTTTTATTTTTCATAACACTCTCTAATTCTTTCAACGCGTTCAATTTTGGTCTGCCTTTATTCCTTACATTCTGCGGTTTCTAGTGCAGTCGCATTATAGCTATATTGATTGTTGTAATTTGTGTTCCCAAAAGGTATCATATTTAAAGCCCTCGTCTTTTCCTCGCTTCTTGATTCTTTGGCATTTGTTTAGTTGTCTCCTAAAGCTCTATATCTGTGATTTATGTTATATATAAACACAAATTTACATACCTTAAAATTTTCCTAAACAAAAATCATGATTAATATTTGAACGATAACTATCCTGTGTTTCATAAAACGGTCACTGTGTGAATACCTGGGACTAAATGAGATCGTGTCAAAATTCATAACGCTGGTAGATAACAAAAATATGGGTCCTTGAAATATTCATGAGTGGAGTGAAACTTGGAACTGAAATTAGCGAGAAATGTTGCTTGGTTTATCGCCTAGAAAAACGCTTAGACACAACATGGTATGCCTCTCTAGACCACAGATTCTTTTTATGAAGGGAGACGCGCTGCTGATAAGCTTTTTTTTTTTTAAATTTTAAAACGGAATGAACACAGAATATATATAAGTAACAAACTCAGTGAAAGGAAAGATACACACAAACAAAGCTCGCTACTAAAGTCGATATCAGTGTCATATGAATAAACAACCCCAAGGGAATACTTAACTGAAAACGTAAATACCACAGTCGCAAAAAGTAATTTTAATCTATAAGTGAAAAACAAGATCTTTTTTTTTTCTTTGGTGAAGCGAACATTCATAGTCTAAAGGTAAAATTGGGAGATGTGAAATGGTGTTATTGCACACGGTTATAAACCATAAGTGCTCTGCCACCAGTACGGGCAGCTGATAAGAAACTGTCCGCATGTGTCGCCGTCCGCACTCAACTCCGAAGCTACAGAGACGTTCCTCCATTTACCCCAGAGTGTTAACTCCAGTACCCATTACCTAGAGGCTGGGTGAACCCCGAGAACCACCGGGGTTCAAACACCGGCCGTAGGCCGCAGCGAGTCGCAGCCGGATTGAAAGCGAGTCTCATATCGACAGCGCTAAAGCGGCCCCTAAAATTTGTAGTCTATTCACTTGAAATATCCAGAGATAAGAATGGCGACTAATAAATACTATTTCAGATCCGCACTGACTAAGAGATTTTTTCTTTGTTTTCATAAATTATCTTAGCTTCCATGTTAACCCAGCCTAAATGGGTACCACTGGATATTCTAGGAAGTAAAGGCAGTCGGCGTGATGTTAACCATATTAACCAACCAGTGCCAATTGCTCTTTAAAATGGTAATATGCCCGCTGCGCCATTTGTGTAAAACGATTCCTTTATTATTATTTTTTTTTAACACCTAATAACTGCTTTTTAATTTTAGTTTGGTTTTGTGTCGTTGTGTAGTGGTTATAATGTTTTTCTTCTTCTTCTTCTTCTTCTTCTTCTTCTTCTTCTTCTTCTTCTTCTTCTTCTTCTTCTTCTTCTTCTTCTTCTTCTTCTTCTTCTTCTTCTTCTCTTCTCCTCCTCCTTCTCCTTCTCCTCCTCCTCCTCCTTCTTCTTCTTCTTCTTCTTCTTCTTCTTCTTCTTCTTCTTCTTCTTCTTCTTCTTCTTCTTCTTCTTCTTCTTCTTCTTCTTCTTCTTCTTCTTCTTCTTCTTCTTCTTCTTCTTCTTCTTCGCATCCACAGGCTGTGAGTTCCAGTGGAACGTTGTGGCTGCTCGTCCACTTCTGGACTTAACTCTTGCTCGATAGACTGAGATTTGCGTGCACGTCTGTTTTACGTGTCTCACTTATTTGTATACAGACTGGTGGTTATTCGTTTCTCAGGCAGATGCAGTTCGACTTCAACAGAATCACTCCTAATTAGTCGCCTTTTATGTGCTTCTTGTGGGTGGGGTGGGGGGGGGGTGGGTCTATTCTTGTTCCCTCAAAACAGCAACCAGGAATACGCAAGGAGAATATAAAGAAACAATAAAAAACTTGACATTGACCCGTACATAGCTTCTTGTAAACTTCCGCCAGGAAGAAAAGTGAGAGATATTATTTCTAGCTTAATTAGCGGGTTCTTGTTCTTGTTTTTTCTAGTAGTAGTAGTAGTAGTAGTAGTAGTAGTAGTAGTAGTAGTAGTAGTAGTAGTAGTAGTAGTAGTAGTAGCAGCAGCAGCAGCAGCAGCAGCAGCCGCAGTGGCTGCTACATCAAGAGCAGAAGTAGTGTCAGCAGCAGTAATTGCCGTTGTGAAGTAATATTAAAAGCAACAGTAGTAGTAACAGCAGCAGCTGCAGTAGTAGTGGTGGTAGTAGTAGTAGTAGGGCTGGTGATGTTGGTGTTTGGTCATTGTTGTGGTTGTTGATGGCGATAGTAGTAGTAGTAGTAGCAGCAGCAGCAGCAGCAGCAGCAGCAGTAGTAGTAGTAGTAGTAGTAGTAGTAGTAGTAGTAGTAGTAGTAGTAGTAGTAGTAGTAGTAGTAGTAGTAGTAGTAGTAGTAGTAGTAGTAGTAGTAGTAGTAATAGTAGTAGTAGTAGTAGTAATAGTAGTAGTAGTAGTAGTAGTAGCAGTAGCAGTAGCAGCAGCGGTATTATCAGTAGCAGTAGACGTTGTCATCGTTGTTGCAGTAGTAGCAATAGCAGTAATAGTGAGAAAAGTAGTAGTAGCAGCAGTAGTAGCAGTTGCAGCAGTAATATCAATAGTTGTAGACCTCAACATCGTCCTAGTTGTGGTAGCTGTAGGGGTAGCAACAGCAGTAGTAGTAGCAACAGTATTTGCATTAGCAGTAACAGTAGTAGTAGCAGCAGCAATAGTATTATTAGTAGTGGTATCAGTAACAGCAGTAGTACCAGCAGCAGTAGTAGTAGTGGTAGTGGCAGTAGTAGTAATAATAAGCTAGTAGTACGAGTAGTATTAGCAGCAGCCGCAGCAGCAGCAGCAGCAGCAGCAGCAGTAGTAGTAGTAGTGGTGGTAGTAGTAGTAGTAGTAGTAGTAGTAGTAGTAGTAGTAGTAGTAGTAGTAGTAGTAGTAGTAGTAGTAGTAGTAGTAGTAGTAGTAGTAGTAGTAGTCTAAAGTTATTAACATTATCACAAGCAGTCACACCTCTAAACGTAGACACATTCCCCAATAATCTGAGTCGATATTTATACTTACTAGCGGGCGTATGCTGCCAGCCTTCCACGTTGTCCAGGTCCGTCCAGTCATGATCTGGAGTTGAGGCTTTTTCAGGATGGCCAGATAAAGTGAGATCTAGTGTAGACTGCAAATTTATAACAGAAAATTCACAATGTTAGCACTGCAAGTGAATCGATTAATCAAGTAACAGAAAATATATTGATCGGTACTCATAAAAGGAAGTAGAAAGATAGAAAAACACACTAGACAACATAAAAATCGAAAGCTATAGTTACCGTACACTATACAATTGAATTGCAAGTGAATAATATTGTAGCCCTGAAGGAAATATCAGCCTGTAATTCATCTTTTTCTTATTCATTTTCCCCAGATGTAAACTCTGGCCGAAGATCTGATTGTTCATCCACTTCTAAACTTTAGTCTTGTCCCAGAATTTGAGTTTTGAATGCACATCCGTCTTACAGATTTTGTTTAATTGGATGCAGACTATTGGTTCGTTACCTCTCAGGCAGATGCATTCCAGTTTCGATGGAAACCTCTAATTAGTTTAATCTCACGACATGCTTGTAGGGAGGCAATGGGTCTTTTCTTTTTTCCTCCCCAGAATAGGGCACTGAACCATATGGGGAAATTTGTGTATTTTGACTTTCACACATACACACACGGGCGCGCGCACACACATAATGTCATACATATGTCGCGCGAAAAAAAAGTTCCATACTGGCCACATCACTCACCAAATGTTGATTGGCCGGAAAAAAATTGGGCCAGAATCATATGTACAGTAAGTTCATTAATAGACGTAGAAACTGGAAGTCTGTTTTATTTACGAGTAAATTATACCCGCTCACACAAACACACATCGCATGTACTCACTTTAGTTATGTCTGGTTGCGTTGTGGTCTGGTCCTCGCCTGATCCTTGCCTAAGCTCCATGTCTGCTGGCTTGAAGTCCAATTGCCCAGCCATGTTCTGGATCACACTGTTTCCTGACATCACCATCAGCCTCTAAGAGAACCGGCCATTCTCTTCAAGAAGCAACAATAGTTAAACAGGTACTATTATTTTAGTTCACCCTATCTCGGGGAATCGAGAGTTTCCAGGGAAAGTCCAATATCATAGAGGAGTAAGGGTTAGCGTTAGAGTTAGTCGGTGCTCGTTTCACGCTGTAACACCCCTATGATATTGGACTTGGGGGGGGGGGAGACTCTCGGATTCCCCAAGAGGGGATACACTACAATGAAAAGAGACCATTAAACATTAACTCGGTTATTGCCAAGCAACGTCTTATGTGTGAATGAGTCTACCCACTGATTTCCCTCCATAGCATAATGTATTCCCTTCATTTTACCATTTGGTGAGAATATTCTAATTCGCCTCTCCAATAGTCACCAGCTCTGTTTATATTGCCAGTTTGAAAGTAATGCACTCTTGATTTTCAACACGGCTATTTGTGTTTTCTCCAGTGAAATATTCTTCTACTGAAAAGGTGAAGATTTCGTTACTTAATCCTCTATTGTGTTTTATTATCGTCTTTTAAAGATTAGTTGGTACCATTTCGTCTTTTCTGACGCCAGTTTTATATTGTGTTAAAGGATGCAATGGGCTCATAGTCCATAGCGATGGCGAGTGTGACTAGCAAGAACCACTTGGGCTTTAACAAATCTTCCACGGGACATGACATTTGAGAACCACTGTTGCCGCTGCAAGCATTTAATGTGCTTCATTTCATACGCCT